CCTACATCTGTCTGTACAATACTTCACAACACTCGATGGGCAGACACACATGACATGCACTCGGTCGGTCAGTCAGGAGGGCCAGGCACCAGAAACATGATCACTCGCTCGCTCATTTCTCTCTCTTTGACTTTGGCCTCAGGTCAGGTAAGCAGCCAGCCAGCCAGCCAGCCAGTACTTGTTGCAAAGACGGACGGAGGGGTTCGTTCAACGCATTTTGACCAGCAGCCAAAACTACAAACAAACAGAGTCCCTCTCACTCGTCAACCAGTCCGTCATACACGGCCACGCAGCCATGGTCGTCCTGTCCACTCCTCTGCCATCCACACATCCATTCATTCATCCATCCATCCATTCATCAACACAGCCGGGGCGCTGAGGAGCACCAAATGAGTCCAAAAAGAAGATCCGACCAACCGACCAAAAACATACGTCCATTCGTTCCATCCATCCATCCGTCCGTCCGTCCTCACCCCGTCACCCACTCACTCCGTCCATTCATCCTTCATCCGGGCATACAGCCGGTCACCTCTCTATCATACACACATGCAGCCACACATCCATCCCATCCATGCTCTCGCACAGGGCGACTCCACACACACTCAAGTCAGTCAGTCACTCGATCGATCGCTCTTCGCAGGACAGGGAGTACAAAAGTGATTGAAATCAACCAGTGGAGAGAGAAGCCGGACACAGGGCCAGAAGCAAGCTTGCACACAGTGCAAAAAATGGTGGTTTGATGTGCCAATGGGTGGATGGATGGATGGACAGATGGATGGATGGAAGGCCTACATGTATGTGTACACGTGAGTGCGTGTGTGTGTGTGGTTGTGTGTGGGAAGGAGAAGACAAAATTCGTCCCTGTCAGCCAGCCACCCCCAGCAAGTCAAATCAGTCAGTCATCTGTCAGTAGTGAAGCCAAAAAAACGCTCGTGTGGGTGCCGTGCCGACATGAGGATAGGATTGACAACAAAACTTCTGTCTCGTGCACACATAGCATAGCATGCCACGCTTGCTGGCCATCCGTACGCAGCGCACCATAATGCACACACACTCACCCATGCATTGATGAATGAATGAATCAATCAATGGGGGGCAGGGGGGGAGGGAGAGCACCGAGACGCCATCAGATAGACTGACAGTACAGGCAGGCAGGCAGGCAGGCAGGGAAGCGAAAAACCCGTGCACAAGGCAGCTTGCTCGCAGGCCAGATGAGAGGGACAGAGAAAGAGAGAGACGCAGTAGGGCAAGGAAGGCAAGAGAGAAGGCAGTAGGGTCTTTATTGAATGTCCATCCGACTTGCCCCAATCGATCGACCTCTCTACAGATAAAACGAGCCTGTGCGTCGCTTGCTGGCGTGCATGCGCTCATAGAGACAGCGCGCACGCGACAAAGCGACAGCACCAGGCATGGAGGCAAGCCGTGAGAGTCATCAAGTCAGCGAGGAAGTCACTTGTCGATCCGCACGCTGCCCTCCGCGCCTCCCTTACTCAAGCCAGCCACTAGTGCGGTGTCATGGATGGTGGCATGGGAACAATCAAGGGGGGAAGGACATAGGGGCATCATCTACGAATCGTACGTGTATGGGCGAGGGGGGGGGGGGGGGGT